GCGAGAAAACACTCAGAAGTATCGGATTGACTTCCTCGGTGCTCGTCTTGGGATTGCTGTAATCAGATTCGCCGATGTTGATAACAACGTGAGTCTTTGTCAAGAGCGCCGATGCCCCAGGTGTCACTACGATAGTCTGGGTGCCATCGGCCAGAATTGCTGGGCCTCTCACCCGATCACCGACTTCTAAGCCGTCAAGTTCATAGATTGGGGTTTCAACCCTACCACCCTCAAAATACACCAGGGACTTGCGATACTCCCCACTTGAGACATCCTTTGGACTGGATTCTTGGATCTGCTGGTCCACAGTCTTCTCGGATGCTTTGAAGCCTTTCCCAATACCTCGCACCCGCACGTCGTCCACAATAATATCTCGACCTGGAAGAGTAAAGCCAAACTCTTGATCATGTTGCCTCACGAATGCCTCACCAAAGGCCCACTCGTCAGAAAATGCCTCTTCCTTGCTAGGTTTCAGTATCATCAAAGCGGATTCGGTGCCTCGATATCGCATGTTGAGATATTCTTCAAATACAATCGAACGTTCATCAAAGCCCTGGTTTTTCAACCTGTGTGCAGATCGCTTTTTGAGCTCTTGTAATCTCAACTTAAGTTCGTATCGAATCTCGTTCCCCCACACCTTGGATTCTGGCTCTTGATTTTCATCAACGACATCTGCCAAAGCCATTCCGTATGCCGAAAGCACCGATGAGTGCCGATGGATCAAAATCTGCCGAATCCCTAGGCTTTCAGCGATAGCAACGGCATGCTGTCCCCCAGCTCCTCCGAAGGTGGCCAACCTATGTTTTGAAGTATCATGTCCCTTTGCCTCAGTCAAGGACCGAATTGGTCGGGTCATTGTCTCATTGGCGACTTTGATGAATCCAAATGCAACCTCGTCGGGGGTCATGTCTCTGCTTTGGCCTCCCTTGGTCAATTCTTCGTTGATATCCTTGGCGAGTTTTTCAAAGAGGCGCCGGCTTGCATCCTCATCCAATCCCTGGTCTTCCTTGGGACCAAATATACTTGGAAAAAAGTCGGGAACCAATCGCCCAAGAAAGAGGTTGGCATCAGTGACCGTCAAAGGGCCATCTTTGCGATAGCACGCGGGTCCTGGATGAGCACCGGCGGATTCAGGTCCCACGACAAATAGTCCATTGCGGTAGAATAACCTTGAGCCACCTCCTGCAGCCACAGTGTTGATGTCCAATTGAGGAGACTGAATAGTCACACCAGCAGTCGTTGTCTCAAACACGTGTTCATATCGGCCAGACCCATACCTGCTGACATCGGTGCTTGTCCCTCCCATATCGAAGCCGATCACTGGGATCTTCGACAGAGGATCATACGAAGTCAACGCATAGCCGACCACTCCACCAGCAGGGCCAGAAAGAATTGCTCGTAAGCCTGAAAACTGGTCCACGTCCACTAAGCCCCCGTCCGATTGCATGAATTCACAGCGTGCGCCTTTGGTGCCTCCTTCTTGTTTGACACTTTCACTTCCTAGTCCACCCTCGAATCCAGCCTGGAACCCCGAAATATACTTCTTGATAACCGGGGTCAGGTATGCATCCGCGCATGCTGAAGTGGTACGTGGCACGAGTTTGATCATAGGCATGAGCTGGTGACTCAAACTGACATGTTGAAAGCCGATCTCGCTGGCGACTCTTCCAACCAGTGCCTCGTGATCTGGAAATGTGTATCCATGAACAAAACATACGGCTATGCTTCGGATTCCACTGTCGTATACCTTCTGTAGCTGGGACCTCACGGAGCTCTCGGATGGGCGTTTTAGGATACGAACTGCTTCAGAAGAAAGGCCACGAACGACGTCATCCTCTGGAGCAGTCTGCTCCCGGGGGACAGTGGCAGTGGTATTCCGTTGTGGATCTTCTGCGTAGTCCTCCAAAGTGACCCTTTCATCCACTTCAATCACTTCCCCATATAGCACATCGGGACGTTTGATGGCTAGGTCGAAGATTTTGGGGCGGGACTGATTCCCAATCAAAAGACAGTCCTTGAAGCCCTTAGTGACCACAAGTGCAATCTTCTCTCCTTTTCGTTCCAGCAACGCGTTGGTTGCCACAGTTGTGCCCATCCGGATACTTTGGATCAAAGAAGTATCTATAGGCTCTCCGCGGGGGATGTCACGGTCTGTGAATCTGGAGAGGATACGTCGGATACCCTCCAAAGGTGCATCTTTGTAGTTGGCCGGATCCTCAGAAAGCAATTTGATCACAATATCATCTTCAAGGCGTCCTGTTCCGGGATTGCCCACGCAGTCTGTAAAGGTTCCGCCCCGCTATAGACAGTTAGTTTGTTGAAGCATAGGGGCGGAAATCATACATCGATTGCAATACTTATTCCTTGTGTCTTTGAGTTCATTGCAAAGAAGTGGTATTTCCTATAACTTTCACAGAAGTGCAAGGAACTGACAGATGGGGAGATGCTATTTTCCCCGCATATCAAGTTCTCACTACGTCATCGGGAGTAGAGATATAGCCTTACAAAGGGGCAAATTTCCAAGGGGACTCCAAGGTTTGTTGATGGTTTATTGATCGCTCGAGTACTCCGTATATGGAAAGCAATAGGAGAGAGGTCGTAAATGTCGGGCTTGAGCTTTTGGAAGAAAACCGACTTCTAAATGGTTCCTACAGCATTAAACCCGCGTACAACTAAAACACTACAGTCATTGAAAGAAACACGAATTTTTGAGTTGCAACCGGTCGGGAAGGGCGGGGAAGGGCAGGAATCGCTTTCATATTAAATTGCGCACATGAGACGGAGGGCGGATTGGAATTCATCGTGGTACGAGGGCGAGGACTTGGAACGTTCGCTCGACGCTTCGGTGGACTCCGAGCTGCTGACCAGGATAAATACCGACACCTCAAAAAAAAAATAAAGATAAGCATATTTGGGGGAGGGGGATTCAGAAAGAAAATGAAGGGTGACGGGTGGGCCCGAGAATGATGGGCATTTGGAATCAACAAAGGCACAAGAAAAAAACACGCGAAAATTTCCGCCGTGGGGTGAGACGAGGATCACATCGATGGGCACCTCAGTGAAATAACCTTATCCTTTGCCTAGCTGGCACCTCTGCAATCAATGGGATCCGAGAGAGGACGAGGTAGTGAGTTGATCTACTCAGCAGTATCAAGCTCATCATGAGCAGAGGGCATTGGGTCCAGGGGTACTGGGTGGATATGAGCAAAGAGAAAAATATCTAGTCTGAGTGATGATGCGTCTCACCTTTCCTGTCTTCACCGTTGGTGACAACCTCACGGTCCTCCTCGCGGCGCTCACGGTCATCATCACGTCTTTCACGGTCATCCTTGCCTTCACGTTCACGGTCATCAGGGCTGCGGGAGCGGTCGCGGGAGCGGTCGCGGTCACGGCGATCGTGGTCACGGTCGCGGCGGTCAGAATCACGGTCGCGGCGGTCGTAATCGCGGTCATAGTCCCGCTCATACCGATCATCGCGGCGAGGAGAATACTCACCGCCACGACTGCGGCGGGGGGAGGGAGAACGACCACGACGAGGGGGGGTGCGGTCACGGCGGCGGTCACGACCAGCATCACGGCCAGCATCACGGCCTGGCTCACGGCCCGAGTCAAAGCGCCAAGAGGCAGAAGGGGGAGTGCGGGCCCACTGTAGATGGGGTTAGAGACAGGCATATTGAAATCAGTGTGCGACATAATATTACCTCGATTTTCAGCAGATCATCGCGACCGATACGCTTGTTATGCATTTCATGGTAGGCATCATCAGCATCACGGCGGCTTTCGTACTCAACAAACGCGAACCTGGGCTGAGGTCAGAAACAAGTCCATCGCAAGTGTCGAAATAGTAACTCACAGCCGGCTAGAAGGGGTGCGCGGAGCAGGAATATCACAGCGAACAAGACGCCCATAGCTATTTCAAATATCAGTCTTACACAGCTCCAGATGTCCAAGTTGGGAGAAAATTATGACGAATGACCCCAGGACCAGCAGTTGCCCAAGAAGGGGGGCGGGGGCAAGGCCAAACTGAAAGAAAATAGGCAACATATATCCTCCAAGTCCATCGATTGTGGTCTCGTTACGTCGTCGGAAGGATGGGGATCGAAGGTCGTAGGTGCGAAGCTAGAGGCGACACGTACCGTTCGAATTCGTAGGCAAGATCGCGAGCCCGGGTGCCGTGGCCGAACCCGGTGACATACAGAGTGGTTCCCGAGCGAGACATTGTGTCGTGCAAGAGGATGGAAGAAGAAGGGGAGAGAGCTTTAGAAGCTTCAAGAGTACAGCAGTATGAGAAGGAGACGAGGCTGAAAGAATTGGGTGATGAAGGTGCTACGGTCGACCACAAGTGCCAGAAACGCCAATGATGAAAGTGACGTTCCAAATGTTCCTTAAATACGTCATTCTACCGAAAGAAGATGGCTCATTAAGTAGTGATCAATTTTCTAAACATTTTGAATGATTCTTAACAAGTATAGACAGTAGGTGTGTGTTCATGCGGTACCGGGAATTGTAAGTGGCGGACCATCGGGAGGTACCGTGTCTGTCGGCAAGTCGGGAGGTCCTCTATCGCAACCTCACCAAAGCTCGTTCCCTGCCCTTCTCACATCGGCAACAGTCTATATTTCTCTTCTGTTCCAATACTATTTGTTCTTCTGCCAGAATTGGGTTAAGTCACCTACCCAATTCTTCCCTCGGGTCCTCGAAATCAACTGGAACTGTCATACCCTTTCATCGACTATACGATCCCTCGGAGCTGCCAGACCAACGATGTGCTTTTAGACCGTCAGGCCTTGAAATATAGCCAACCTTCATGGCCAGCACTACATCAATACAAAACAGATTTCCGGTGCTTCCTTATTTCGTCGGCCTATCAAAATATCCGTCTGGACGCTGCGCAATCGAGATCAACAGTGACCTGACCTGATTCGAGTCTATACCCTCAACATATTTGGGGTAAAGTTCTTCCTCCCTCATCTGCAATACTCGATGTGCCGTTCGTCAAGATGAGCTTGGATCGCCAAAATGACGCCCAGAAACATGAGCTGGAAAGCGCTGCAAAGCCTGCCTTGCAAAACTTGTCTCAATTTCCCACTTCGAATTCTGTCAAGGTAAAACCTGGAGAAATTCTAGTCCGACGTGAGCTAGGAAGACTGATTGTTTTTGAGCAGGAGACTGTCGCAAAGCAAGCTCCGTCGCTATTGGATCGGACTCGAAACAACCTCGCGGAGCCAGTGGTGGCTGCTTTCATGGCCGGTGGAGTCGCCGGTGCAGTTTCCAGGACGATAGTTTCACCACTGGAACGGTTGAAAATTCTCCTTCAAATTCAAAGCGTTGGTCGAACGGAGTACAGGTTGTCAATTTGGAAGGCCCTCGTGAAGATGGGCCGTGAAGAAGGTTGGCGGGGCTTCATGCGAGGGAATGGAACCAACTGCATTCGCATCATCCCCTATTCAGCGGTGCAGTTTGGAAGCTATAACTTTTACAAGAAAGTGAGTGATGCCGCACAGAGACCGAGGCCTTCCTCTGAGGATCCAGACTGATGCTTGTGTTGCTCTAGTTTGCCGAATCTCCCGATGGCGAGATGACACCCATGCGTCGGCTTATTTGTGGAGGTGCTGCAGGGATCACCTCGGTCACCTTCACCTATCCTTTGGACATTGTTCGAACTCGGTTATCTATTCAGTCCGCTTCATTTGCCGACCTTGGATCACGAGACCCTGGCCAAAAATTACCTGGCATGTTCACCACAATGGTGATGATATATAAAAACGAGGGTGGGACCAAGGCTTTGTATCGTGGAATTGCCCCCACTGTCGCCGGAGTGGCCCCCTACGTGAGTCGTCTACTGTATTACCCCGTTTGACCTCCCAACTGACCAACGATAGGTGGGGCTCAATTTCATGACCTACGAATCAGTGCGCAAATATCTGACACCGGATGGGGATAAGAACCCCAGCCCCTATCGAAAATTACTAGCTGGCGCGATCTCTGGAGCAGTCGCTCAGACATGCACCTATCCTTTGTGAGTTTTGATTCCCCCTTATCCTGTTTTGGTTGCCAGAAAACTCATTTTTTTGAATAGTGACGTGCTCCGCCGACGGTTCCAAATTAACACAATGTCGGGAATGGGGTACCAGTACACCTCCATTTGGGATGCTGTCAGGGTGATTGTTGCCGAGGAAGGGCTACGTGGGTTGTTCAAGGGAATAGGGCCGAACCTTCTCAAAGTTGCTCCCAGTATGGCTAGCAGTTGGTTGAGCTTTGAAATGACTCGGGATTTCCTAATCACTTTGGGAGATAGAGAGTAGTCTAATATAACTAGAGGTGCATGAGTGCATTGTTTCATATCTGATTGTCATTTCATTGGGTAGTCATGCATGGATCTTCGAGATTACCCATATCAAGAGGGATAACCTGTACATAATGATAGACCAAGTGTGGAATCTACTTGTACAACTTTGGCGCTAACATTTTGCTTCGTGAGACTGGATACCTGCACGTGATCCGGAGAGTGGCAATTTGGTCATGTGACCACGTGGTCAGGTGCCTCGCCTTTCCTAATCAGGTCTAGGGTAGGGCTCAACCCACACACCACCGTCCAGCCGAAACTGGAGGATCAAAAACCTCCTACACTTTCCATACGGGTGCGACAGCAAGCTATTTCCCAGGTAGTCGATCAATAGCAACCATGGGTATGTTCTATCTTTTTCGACTTGTCGACTACTGTTTCATACAGTATTCATCGAATTCGAATTCTTTTGTCCCTGCTTCCTGCGCAATTCCGCTGACCATGTACAAATCGCAGGTATCGACCTGGACCGCCACCATGTGCGGAGCAGCCACCGCAAGGCTCCCAAGAGCGACAATGTCTATTTGCAGGTGTTGGTGAAGCTTTACCGCTTCCTTGCTCGTATGGATTCCCTCCCCCGTTCACGATTTTCGTTCGCATAAGGCGCACTCTTTGGAGGATCTAAAAGGCTGATTTGGGATGAATGATAGGCCGTACCGAGTCCAACTTCAACAAGGCTGTTCTCCGTCGTCTCTTTATGTCGAGAATTAACCGCCCCCCTGTTTCGCTCTCGCGTGCCGTCGCGAACATCAGCGAGGCCCAGAAGGGCAAGACCGTCGTCGTCATCGGCACCGTTACCGATGACAACCGCCTCCTGAACGTTCCCAAGCTCTCGATCGCTGCTCTCCGCTTCACCGCCACCGCTCGCGCTCGCATTGAGAAGGCTGGTGGTGAGACTTTGACCCTGGACCAGCTTGCTCTCCGCGCTCCCACCGGTGCCAACACCCTCCTCCTCCGTGGACCCAAGAACTCCCGTGAGGCCGTGAAGCACTTCGGCTTCGGTCCCCACACTGACAAGGTGCGTTTGACAGGATATTTGGGCCTCCATTCAATGGAATTGGGGTTTATCTTCTATATGCTAACTCAAAACAGAAGCCCTACGTTGGCAGCAAGGGCCGCAAGTTCGAGCGTGCCCGTGGTCGCAGAAGGTCTAAGGGTTTCAAGGTCTAAGGGACTTTGTGTTTGGGGGGATGACAGTGCAGTGTGGATATATCATCACACTAGCCTGTCTAGTGCCTGGAATCATTCCAGTCCTAGCCAGCGATATCAAGTCTTTGTACTTAAAATGGCGGAACGTCTTTGGTTGGACTGGGAAATGAGAATTTACGAATGAAGGGGCAAAAGAAAATTGAATCAGGCTTTGTCCTAGTTTTTTCTTATGACATGTTTTTTTTGAACGGGAACAATCAAGAGGGAAAAGAAAAATATTTTTAAATTGCACTATACATGAGCCAGTAAGTTACTACTTACTGGCTTAGAGGTAGGTTTGTGTGAAGGTATTTCCGTCCTCCTGCACCATCATGGTAGTCAGCCGCCCGATGGCCATTTCCTCGAATCAAGTACTTGTAAATGGTCAAACCCTCAAGGCCAACTGGCCCTCGGGAATGGATTTTGTTGGTGCTGATGCCGACTTCCGTGCCAAATCCAAACCTCATCCCATCGGCAAATCTAGAAGATGCATTCCAGAAAACACCTGCACTGTCAATGCCGCTCATGAACATATTCGCCACCTCTTGTGACTCAGTCAAAATGATATCCGTATGTTTGGATGAGTGTGAGTTGATGTGAGCGATAGCAGCCTCCACTGCAGCAATCGAGGAGTTGGCCGAAGGAACAGTCTTCACGGCTAAAACGAGGTCCAGAAATTCAGTATCGTAGTCGGATTCAGTGGCCAGCTGTAAGTGCGCCGTCTTCTCGGCAGGCAGCGCTTTTGTCAAAGCGGCTTTTGATGTAGCATCACAGCGGAGAGACACGCCTTTGTCCAAGAGTGCAGTAGCTACCACGGGGAAAACCGACTCAAGGATGTCCTCGTGGACAAGCAAGGTCTCCAGTGAGTTGCACGCCGCCGGATAGTCTGTTTTCGAGTCCACAATGACTTTCATAGCAGTTTCGGTGTTGGCATCAGAGTGAATGTAAGCAGAGCAAAGACCGTCCGCATGTCCAAGCACAGGGATTTTCGTATTATCCTTCACAAATCGAACAAGCTCGTTGGAGCCACGAGGGATGACCAGGTCAATCAACGAATCTTGAGCCAGGAGGGAAGACACGGCATCGCGTGTCTTAACCAACTGAACTGATGCCACTGGCACCTGTGAACCAGCAACAGCTTCAGATACAACTTTTGCAATTGTCTCAAAAGACTCGATGGATTCCTTCCCGCCTATAGATTCACGTCAATAAAATCTGCAGTAGTAACTTTGCTGAGGGCACGTGTACCTTTCAAGATAGCAGCATTGCCGGACTTGATAGCCAACGCAGCGATATTGGCTATGACCTCTGGGCGGGCTTCGAAGATGATCAGCAGAACACCAATAGGGCAGCTGACTCTCTCGAGGGTCAGACCATCGTCAAGGAGAGTTCGCAGTGTCACTTTGCCAACTATTGCATTTGTGTCAGTGTCTATCCGAATCAATATAAGTGTTATGCATACCAGGATCTTCCAGATCTCGCACACTCAGTATGCCCTCGAGCATGTCATCATACTTTCCAGGCCGCGACAAGTCAAGTCTCTTGATCACACTATGACTTAGGTCTCCATTATCAGCCGCACGATTGGCAGCTTCTAAGTCCCTCGCATTGGCAGCGAGAATAACCTCTCGGTTCACATCCAATGCACGATGGAGCGCCGTCAACGCTTCGTTGCGGGCAGCGTTGGATAATGTTGCGAGGCGACGAGAGGCAAGCGATGCGCTACGAGCGACATCAATCGCAGCCGAGCCAGTCAGCGACATGGTATGGAATAATTGAAAAGGTGGAAAGCTGGGAGTTTGAAAACTGAGAAATGAGTCAAGGTTTGGAGGGGCACGCTATCGATCCCGCTCGGTGTCTCCCGCCCCGGGGGAAGAAGCTATTGTTAACCGTAGCTCTCTCTCTCTTTCTCTCTTCTCTTCTATACTCCGTCTTTGTCAACTTAGCTCTAAATATTCCTTTTTTCTTTCTCTCTCTTTTGGGACTTGCTCTTTTATCAAGTTTAGCGTTGGTTTTTCCCTCTACCCCTGCGGTCGTGTTGCAACCTTGAAACAGTTACTCCGCATTGTTCACGTCTTTCGACATATTTCCAGGGCATTTCAGGCCCTGCATCGCTGAAATGACACTTGTCTCGGACCTTGCCGCTGCATCGGCCCATGTACACGACTCTGCCAAACTTTCCAGTGGCGATTATGACCGTCGACTTCGCGAGTTGGTCGAATACTTGAGGCGGCTTCTGTCCACTAAGGCCCTTGACACCCTTGCCAATGACGAATCAATCCTCGATGTCAGTGGATCTTGTTTTATAGCACGCATGAATGAGTGTTTGATAGAGCTACTGCTAACATTTGTCTTCCTTCCTGTTCAGCGCTTCGACCCAGCAAAGGATTCTATCCCATATCTTTTTATCCTTCGGCTGCAGATTCAAACCGCGCAGGCAACTACTGGCGAAGCAATCCCAACAAAAATCCAGCCTTCCGGTTTGCTATGGACACGAAGTGCAGACTTCTTGAGGAATTTTGATAGGGTTCAGGTCAGATATGTCGGGCGAGAGTGGCGTGAGCTTGTTGAGATCGTGGGACATACTTCACAAGCTATATCTAAAGCAAGTTTATTCTTTTTATGTCCTTGGGTTTATTTACTAACGGTCCACAGCCACTCCTAGCTACGAGGCTGATTAGAGACGCTATGTTGCGTCTCGATCCATCATGTGCTGTTTTCACGTCAACTCACCTCTTACTAGTCCGGCTGTGTCTCCGGGCAAATGCATATTCCTGTGCATTACCGGTCTTGGACAAACACATTTGCCATCTTCCAATCGTGCCTGGGCGTCACTCTTCGGACCCTCCTGTACTTTGTGCAGAACACGAGTCTAGTATCTCCTTTGTGACGGATGCATCTGGTCTTTCATCTAAGATATCCTATCGAGATTATCTACAGTATTTCCTCTATGGCGGTATGGTGTACATGGCTCTCAAGGATTGGCGCAAGGCACTTCACTTCCTTGGCGTTGTCGTCTCTACACCTGTTGCTAGCTCTGTGAGCTTGGTCATGGTGGATGCATACAAAAAATGGGTTCTAGTAGGTCTACTTGAACATGGCAGGGTACGTAAACTGAACATTGACCACCGCTTTTCGTCTGATTCTACTTTTCTGTCATTTTGCTAACTAGTCTTTTGGGGTCAGTTGTACCCACCTCCAACTATCACCACCCCTCATGTGATGAAGATATATCAGTCACTGGCGAGGCCCTATGTTATACTTGCACACGCCTTCGAGCGAGGTGACATCCGAAGATTGAAATCTGAGGTTGATTCGGCAGAAGATATCTGGCAGAATGTAAGTCGCAGTAGATGAATATTCTCCGGGGGTGTTCAAGGAAGGGGGTGCTTGATTTATAGAGCTAATACACCCTTCTAGGACAATAACATGGGCCTGGTCTCCCAGGTCGTGAACATCTTTTTCGGCCAGGCTATCACCAAGCTTGGAAAGACGTTCGCAGCTTTAACAGTCGCCGACCTTGCAAAACAAGTGTTCCCTTTGCCCGTGCGTGGAGAAGTTGCCGAGTCTGTGATTGTGTCTCTCGTGTTGTCTGGTGCTTTAGACGCTACGTTACTACAGACTCAAGATCATGCGGTGTCGTCAATGCTGCGATTTTCGGCTACTTCTTCGTCCACTCGACTGTCGCATGAATTGAACATACAATCCCAATTCCAGAGGGAGCGAAGTTTAATGGAGGCCTTGGTGGGCAATCTAAGCGAGAGCAATCAGAACCTAGGCCTGAGTGATGAATGTGTTGACAGTGTTCATAAAGGACAGGCTTGGTCGGGTTCTGAAGTGAATCCAGTTCTAGGGGAGGAAGTTGGCTTGGAGATGGATGAGGATCTAATGGGTGATATTCCTTAGGTTATTTCTTGGGTATCAATTCGGAGCTTGAGTTACTGTTCCGTTAATGATCGTTTATAATACTATTACCGGGTTATTATCATATTACGACATGATGTAGGAAGCTCATGGCGGTGTCGCGCCATAGATACTCCCGAGTCACCCGCGTATACGAGATACAATGTTGCCTTCTGATATATCAAATGGTAATCTAAGTTCACTCTTTATCTCGTATAATTCTATTAGGATCCTTGGTATCAAAAGGGAGGAAATAGTTCTATAGATTCAGATAAATATAAAGCTATCTTACGCTTCTGTTAGGACCCTCGGGGTCTAACAGGCTCCGTGGCCGTACTGACTGGGTTAGTCGGCACGTGAGCAGAGCGCGTACTTATACGGTGTAAGAGCATGATTGCCTGACGGCAATCATGGTGGCCTTTTTGGTCCACGTTCCGATTGCTGAGCCCTGACAGTGGTCTTAACAGCTTCCTAGGCGATTAGACTAGGCATTCTTATTATAAGACGTCGCCGGCGACGCCTATGCCGGAGACGAGGCGTAAAACTGCTAGTCCTCGGTGTATTAGCGGTGCTAAGAACTTTATACATTTAAGCCCTAATAATGTACAGTGAAATACACTACGACGCCTTCCTAAGGCCTTATAGCTATATGTTAGAGTCCCGAAGACGCTAGGTTTATGAATAAGGAATAAGAGAGCCTTAGCTAGCTATTCTGATATAACGTCTAATTAATATTAGTTAGTTAATTAGCACCGCAAAGTAATAATTAAGGACTAAGCTTTTCTTGGAAATAAGGCCTTATCTCGCTTTTAGGACGAATAAGGAGGCCTAAGGGACAGGAAGCTTAAGCTTATATAGGGAGGAGGTGGACGAGATATTCCACGCATTTATTATATTAAATTTTTTTATATAGGTTTTTAGTATTTGATATTTGGACTTTATATATCGGGCTAGTTCTACCAGCCTCCTTATTTATATTAGCTTAATTAGGCGTACGGATTAAGAGTTCTTACTTTATTTGGAATAAGCTCCTATATAGCTATTACGATACTAGTTAGGCTCTAATAGGGTTAATAGAACTTTAATACTAGCAATGCTTCTAGAATATATAGTTAGGAGTCCGTATAATACCTAGAATATAAGTTAGTATAGACTAAGTAATAGGAATTCTACATAATTTTTACTATTAATATATCCCTTCAAGCTTATTATATATACTAGATACTAAGGCTAAGATCCTATATTTTATTATAAACTCGAAAATAGCGATTACTATTAACTAGGCTTTAAATATTAATTATATATCTAAATAGTATCGCTTATAATATTAAAAGTACTTAAAACTTACGTAATAGGTCGTACGCTAACGTAATTCCCGGTCGAGCGGCCACCCCGGTCGAGCGGCCACCCTACCACCTATCTATTCAATTAAAGTGCATTTTTTAACCAAAACGCCATTAAAATTCAATAAGCTAAAAATGAGTTCTATTAGGATATGTAGTCAATTTATGCCCCTGAATTCTATATATACTGCACTTCGACAAGGCCCTCGTACGTGGCTGTAAAGGTGCGGGAGCCGGTCTTGCCTCACGGGATACTTGCGCTAAAATTGCCTGCTCTAGCTGCATTGCTAAGGTAGAGGCCTCTAAAACTGATAGACCTTCTTTAGAAGCTATTTGCCGTGTAGATCTAGTCCTTTTTCGCTTCTTCGTCTCGTTTTTAGCGCGTAAATCGCTTACTTCTTTCTCGAGAATAGCTGCCGATTATATTGTGATTTAATAGGCTTTTAAAACCTAATTTATCGCATAATTAAGTGGACTCGTAGGGCTTTTAGAGCGCTACTTTAGTAAGGCTTTTATTAAAGAAGCTTATTTTTGTAATTGTACGTAATTTAAAGGCGTTTTTAGCTCCTACTCGCTTTCCCGGCTTAAGAGGGGTGTCGGGGTTTAGAGGCGAATATCGAGCTTCGAGATTACTCGATTAGGGTTATAAGGTATTAAACCGGCGGCGGCGAAGCTATTCTTAATAGTCTCCGATTTAAATGCCTTAATTCGTGCGGACGGGTAGGCCGTGAGGAAATTAAGTTTATCGATATAATTAATCCGGAGCCGTATTTTACTTTCGATAAGCTAGCTATACGAGCGCTTTAACACCGTAAAATAGCCGATATTAAGAGGCTATAAAAGGTAAAACGAGTGCGGATATATATAAATTACGATAATATCGTTTTTTTCGTAAATTTAGTCGAATTACGGGGTTAAATAACTCCTATAGCTATTAAGTATTAAGAGTCTATACTTCCCTTTCGTACGCGAAGAAGTAGACGGAATAAAGAGCTTTTCGAGCCACTAAAGGCTAATTTTATAGGACGTCTACCCGTTCGGACTAATCTTAAGTCTCTAATTATTTAGAAGGCCGTCGAACTAAGATTTAATAAAGACTTTGCCCTTAAAAATCACGCACGGAGGAAGCGCCTACCCTAACGCGTTTATACACTTAATTATAGTAACCTACGCGCGAGTTCTAGGTTATAAAAGTGCTCTCCGACTATAGAATTCCTTTATTATAATAACTTTCGCGGTTATAATTAAGCCTATTATAAAACTAGTCTCGTCGAAGTTATAGATATCGTTAGGATCGATACCGTACGAAAGGATCGTTTTTTAGATAAGAGAAAACTATTTAGAAATAATTTTAGGGTCTTCGTATTTAGCACGCGTATAATTATAGCGCCTCGAAAACCTACTCGAGAGGTCGGAATACCTTTTCACGAATTCTATAACCTAATTCTTACCGACCGAAAGAGGAGGGTAGATCTACGCGCCGTAAGTAGTAAGTCTACTATCTCTCGTATAGAAGAAGGCCGAGGGGCTACTCCGCGAGAATCAATTGAGAGTATCTATTTTCGAAGCGAGTCTTCTTCAATTTTTGTCAATTTATAGCTATTCGCGCGAGTTTCGACGCGGTTTATAGTACTAGCGAGGCGGCGGCGGAGCGTCGTACGGGGTATATTAAAAAGACGCGCTACTTCTTGAACTATAGAGATTTCTTTCTTTTAAATAGCCTAAATAGCTAATAAGACCCTACCTTCTTGCTCAATTAAATTTCGAGAGGATTGAGTACGAATTGGTGGCATAGTGGGTGTTTGAAGAAGGAAGGTCTAATTAATTGACGCGTTTTACGTGAGGGTGGCCGCTCGACCGGGAATTACGTTAGTTATTACCTATATTATCCTAGTCCTTTCCTCAATAAAACTAAAGTTTTTATAATAGCGAGAGAATAGTGCTGTACTAATTACGTAGAGGTTATTATTAATTATATTAGTTATACTATAATATTACGAAAGCTTCTTCTTTACTACCTCTAAAGAAGTAACGTTAAGTATAAGCTACTTCTAAGTAACCTTTCTCTATTTTATTATACACGTCGACTTTTCGAGATACGTAAGGAGCTTGTTATAGGTATTAAGGATTTTATAAATACTAATATCCTTAGTCTTTAAAAGAAGAGTTATAAATCTGTAGAAAGCCTATATAATATAAAATAGATATTCGATCTATTACTACTCCTTTTAACTTAACGCCAAGTAGTCCTAGTTATACTAAGAATAAAAATTATTAGGGGTAAATTAGAGCTATTTAGAAAGTTAAATAAATAAAAATATTATAGCGAGTTTACATATCCTATAATAAGTCTTAGCTCCTTAGTCTTAAGGTTATAAAATGACTCCTACGATTACATACTTATATTAGTGTATATAGTAAGTAGGTCTTGGACCTATATAACAATAGAAAAGTTAGTTAGTATAATACATCACCTACCAAATGTTCCTTCCCACTCCACTTTTTTCGGGTCCCCTCTCAAAATATATATATCACTTACACAGTATATAGCACCACCATTTTATGGTCTATAATATTACAATTAAATTTCAGGGTTGCTTAATAATAGCACTTTCAAAAATTCGCTTAATATTTTGTGTAATACCCCTTAGCCTTCCTCACTACCTTTAAACGTCTTCCTATACTTAATATTGGCGAATCTATCTTTGACTGATCTAATGCCTAAGCTTCCACTAGGCATTTCTTAAAATATTTCCAGTCTGCCTCCGACCTTCCTTGGCCAATAAGCTCTAGAAGTATTGCAAAAAGTTTCACTTTTAACTAGCGCTATACTAGTTCAATTGGGTTCAAATCGGGTGAGTGTGTGGGCTAGTCTTCGACGTATACTCCGTGGGTTTTAAACCACACTTACGTGTCCTTTGCTAGGTGAATCGTCGCGTTATCTTGCTAAATACTAAATTAGGGGTATAGATTAGCATCAGACCTTTTTCAAGCGTCGAAATATACGACTTTGTAGTATAACCCCTTCCCGACCGCGATTCTTCGTCCCGTTCTATAATTATTAAATCTATTCGACCTCCTATCTAGATTCCGGCCTAAACTATTTGTAAAATATCTTTAACGTGTACTTTGGCATTCACAAGGTCGCGGCGAAGCCCCTTAGAGGTCGTACGGAAGCACTATTGTAGCCCAAAGTTCGAGGTTCGCTACACCGAACACTCGTCCGAGAAGATCTACGATTAGAAGCTTTTACGTCGCTATTTTCGCGTAAATTTTAGCCTCTTCCTTATAAGAGGAGGCTTAATTGATATTTTCTGTTTCGATCGCTATTTTCTAAGTCCGAATCGCTTTAAAATTCGACGAATAGTGGAGGGTGACGGATACTGAGCTGTAGCAGCACCTAGCTATTTATAGGTCCAAAACGGATGCCGACGTGCCTATAAATAGAGGTAAGACTAAGCGCGCTCACTAATAATAGCGGGACGGCCGCTTTTTTCGCGATTCTCTAGCTTTTCGCCTTCTAAATAGCGTTTTAGCGTATTGTAGATTGTACGCCGAGAGTAGCCAAAGTCATTAGCTAATTGCACTTGCGTAGCGCCATTCTTATAAGCATAGATAATAGCTGACCTTTGGGACGTAGATAGCTGCGCCGTTTTGCTA